AGCGCGCTACCGCCTGAGCCACATTCCCAGCCCCAAAGTATTTTCTTTCAGAGGGAACACAACTTGCTTCCATGCAGTTTCTGCACCCCATGCACTTGGCTAGGACCCTGGACAGTGCACGTTGGTAGTTGCTAAGGTCTTTCTCAGAGTCTAGATGACTCCACTCCCAGTTGGGAGGAGGTATGACTTTATAATTTGCTTAAAGGCTCTGAGTGGGCAGATTTGGAACAACAAGATGACAGGAAAAATGGATTAATTTGTAATTTGTGCTCTGAGGGAGTTTAGGGAATTCAGGATGTGACTCCCATGTGCCTCTGGAGAAGCCTAATTTTCTAGATCTGGATGGTGGTACTCTGGGAATTTTGAACAGTACCTGGGGCAATTTGGGCAGCTTTAAAAAAATATTCCTGCTTTCACTATCCTGAACTATTAGACTATCTTCATCCTGGGAGACTCACTCCAGAATCAGAAAACAAGGGCTTTACATCATTCCTTCAGTGAACAGTAAGCGTTCTTAGGGGACTGTTTTGTGGGGTTCACTGTTGCTACTCAGTGTCTTATTCAGACCAAGGTAACCACATCATTGCTACAAAATTCTTGGTCAGAACTGCTTCCACTTGGTAAAGTGAGTATGAATATCTCAGCCCACACCACTTGATACCATTGAAACTTAGAGTTTGAAGGAATGTCTGAGGTGATCCATTTTATTGGTTTTTGAAGGGTACTTCCTGGAGCTATGAAAACTCCCTGTTACTTTCTTTGGAACTTCCTTCATTGGGGTGACAATTGGTGGGAAAATGAGGGCCAATGATAAAGATTTGGGCTCCCTGCCCAGCTCTGTGGGATTGCTCCAATTTGCTATACTTCATACACTGGAGTTCTAAGCAAGATTTTCCTTAAACAAAGCATCCTTCAGAAAAGAAGGTTGAATCTGCTAATCTATTTCAGCCTTCTAACTTTGCTGATGAGAAAATAAATCCCAGATGGGTTAAATGATCTGCCCATGGTGGTGTAGCTCTTGTGATTCATTTATAATTTATGCTTATACATAAGTGCTTCCAGGGCTGTGCTGGATGGAACATCACAAACATCTGAGGACTGGAAACAAACAAAACAAATGAGCTCCACTCTTCACCCCCAATTTTGAGTATATTCTGGGTGGGGRCCTGGGAATTAGAAATTTGAATCTTAAAAAACTAGTAGTGGYAGGAGTTGGGACTAGAACCCAGGTCTCCTGCTTTACTCAAAAGTAATGATAGCCCAGAGTCATGCTTCTTTCAGGCTTCATRCCTAAGGGAAGCCAGGGCTTCACTTAGAATCCCCTGACCTGTGCTCTTTCCACACAGATTTATTTTCTAAACCTAAGATAATGTACAAATCAATCAATTGCCCCTTCTATATACATTATTTTATTTGAACAATGGTTAAAATTGAGCAATTTTTWAAAAATAAATTATAGATGTCCCTCAATGTCCTTAGGGTGCTAGTTTTAAGACACATCCGCTCCACCTGACAGAGATCAAAGACTGTGTGGTGCTCAAGATAGTGTAATATTTGCCTGTAATCTACACACATCCTCCTATGTGCTTCACATTATCTCTAAGTTGCATATAATCCCTAATATAGTGTAAATGCTATACAAATAGTTGTTATATTGCATTTTTTATAGAATAATGATTAGAAAAAAATCTCTGTGTGTTCAGTATAGATGCATTTTTTCCCTCTGGATGTTTCGGAGCCTTAGTTGGTTGAATCTATAGGTACAGAGACCGTGGATGTGGAGGCCAGCTGTACTATTTTTCTTGCTGACATAACATAAACTCTACTTGTAAGGCGTTTACTCTGCCCTTCTTCCCCAGACACTGCTTCAGGCTCTGACACAGTGTCAGCTGCTTTCCTTCTTTTGCTCTCTGCTGTCTTGCAGGACACAGCTATGGACTGTCTCCTCAAAGAAGCCCCTGTAAACTCTCCCAKGACCGCGTTCCTGGCTTCTCAGAGCTGCAGGCTGCCCCAGCTCTGTGGCCTTCAGGCAGCGATCCTCACTCCTCCTCAGGGAGTCAGGGGGTGGCTGCTCCATCTGCATGTTCAGTGATTCCATTACCTTCAAGACAATTTTGTTTTTCTGCACTCAGTGGCCTGGCGCCTATTGCATGTGACTGTCATCTATGTCCACCACTAAAATATTGTATCAAACTTCCACATTAAACAAATAGAGTCAAGGGCTGGTAGCAAGTGTTTAAAATATCTTTGAATGGAATATTCCCAGTAAACTGTTTTAATATAGAGGCCGAGAGGATTAGACTGCCATTGTCTCTAATCCTAGAAATTGCCAAAGCTTACTACATTGGTGTGTTATTTAACACATTTTACACTAGTGTCTTCATTTGGTTAACTTCATTGAAGTTACTATTGTATACTATTGCACTCCCCCCACCACCAGGGACAAAGGGTTTAGAGATCCTACAAGAAGATAAAACAAAAAGATAAAACGAGTGGTGTTCTCATCTGAATATACTCATCTTTTTTCCTAAATGCCCTATTTTGAGTTAATTTATGGGATAAACCCCTCTGGTGCTAATTGACCTGCACAGGGCTGGGCTGGGGTAGCTCAGGGAGCCAAAGATCTCAGAATCCACCATGGGCCAATAGTGAAAATGGAGGCAGAGAAGCCTACATTGAGGCTTTCTGCACTTGTCTCATGGAACGGCTATACTCTAATTTGGAGAGCAAATAAAAACATGTAAGGTTTGTGTACAAACACTTATCAATATATTCTGTATTTGGTTTCATAATCTTAATCAACTGATGATGATTGGGGTGTGTGGAGTAGATAGGCTAACCTTTGTGTAATTATTTCTTCACAGCAGTAAAGAATGATACTGAAAGAAAGTTTTGCTACCAACAGCTTCCTGTAACGTTGAGACTAATATACACCATTTTCCAGGTATATTTTCTGATATCTTTGAATTTTTGGATTAGTAGCATGCTGTTTTGGAAAACCCAGTAACCATGTGTTTTTTTTTTTTTTTTTTGCATAGGAAATGGCTAAATTTGAAGAGCCAGACATTCTTTTTAATATGCTCAATTGCCTGAAGATTCTCTGTCTGCACGGAGAATGTTTATACATTGCTAGAAAAGATCATCCCCAATTTTTAGCCTACATTCAGGACCACATGTTGATCGCAAGGTATGTCTTCCTAATGTCTTATTTTGTTTGTTTATATTTTAAGCTTCAGATGTGAACTTAGAATATGACTTACTAGCTCATTTGGGTTATTTTCTCAGGGAGGACAGCTTTATTACCTATGGAACTACTTTTATTTATTTTATTTCACCTGATATTAAACTATGTCAATATGAAGATTATGTTCACTTGCTAGATACTGTAGGAATATTAAAAAGTAAAACATGGGTTATTTTTATGCCTTTTAGTTGTTATATGGGTTAAGAATAAAGCATGCCCTATAAAAAGTCAACAGATAATTTAATAATTACTTAGTATAACTAAGTAAGGATTTACTCATTTTCTCATGTGAAATGGAACTGCTAATAGAAATCTAAAATCCCTCCATGCATTGTCTGGGAAGTTATTTTCTTAGACACTGCTGAGGCATTTTGAGAATAATAATAAAATTTTGCCCTGGATATACAGTGCTTTCTTCTGGAGGACCTTAAAATAACTGTTAGAGTTTTCCTGGCAACAAGTCAAAAAAATATTATCCTCATCTTACATGTAAGAGAATAAGATGAGACAAAAGGAAAATGATAAAAAAGGAAAAGGAAAAAGGTTCCTTCAGGTTAAGGGTAACTAGGAGACAAAACCAAGTCTGTCTTTACTTATTTTGTTCACTTATTTATTTACTCATTCAAAAAATATAATGAGTGTTCACTGTATACATTATTATTCTAGGCACTTGGGGAGTTTGTAGTCTTGTTTAGAAGGGATTAATTCTCAGTATACAGAAGATGATCTCATATTTTATTATTTAAATTGGTCTACTTTTTAGATTAAAGTGGGATGGCCTTCACAATAATATCAAAACAACAGGATAAATTAAGATCTTGGATAAACTAAGACACATGGTCATTTTATAGACATGTGTGTGCGCGCACACACACACACACACACACACAAATATGTATATATGTGTGACCCAAGGGAATGTGATAAGTGACTATTTTGCACAATTCACAGGTGGGTGAGCTCTTTTCTGGATGAATGGCTGGGGAAGGGCTGAGCAGTAGAGACCATTTGGGTACTACAGCAAAGACTTTTGGTTGATAAGTTTGGAGATAGGTAGAACCTTTTTGGGGAAGCATAAGTGTTAAGAGCAACCAGAGGATGGAGTTGCAAAGAGGAGGTGAGAAATGAGCAAGGCCAGCCTAGGTGATGCCAAGGTTTCATTTTTGCTTCATGATTCATGGTGTGGTTTTGTGAGGTAATAAGGAAAAAAGAGGCCAGAGAAGTAGGTTGGAACCCAACTGTAAAGAGCATTCTTCCCGMATGTTCTGTCTTTCCTCTTCTTATGAGGCCACCAGTCATTAGATTTAGGGCCCATCTTAATCCAGTATGAACTTGCCTTAACTAATTATGTCTATTCCAAGTAAGGTAACATTCTGAAGTTCTAGGTGGACATGAATTTTGGGGGACACTATTCAACCCACTACAGAAGCACCTATGGGAAAGGCAGAGGAATGATAGAAGGAAAGGTGGAGAGGCTATAGAAGTTTCCTCATAATAAATAGGAATTATCCAGGTGTAGCAGGAGGAAGGAGCWGAGAGGTAGGCATGCTGACCTGAATGTGGGGAAGAGTGAGGATGATCTGAAAGGTTCAGGCCAAAGATGAGACAAGCTGCAAATATGGTCAGAATCAATGATGGAACAGTCAGGGCAGATGCTCTGTTAATTCTAGAGGAGTGGGGATTCTTAATAGGCAGACTTCAGTTACTAAAGTATTCCCCACCAAAAAAATGTGCCCAAGCCTAATGGATTATTGATGCTGTGCTTTTGGGGTACTTAGTCMAAGCTTTTTCCTCAAAGTCCCACCCTAACATCATGACAATGAAGGAGTCTGGGAAAGGACAGTCTTCCTCTTTTCCACCCAAGCTGCCTTAGAGGACTTCAACAGCCAACAGGACAGTCCAGATCCAGCTTCTCGCCCTAGCATGGTGTTCTGGAGGTTCTGTGTGTGGTTCGCCTCCTTTATCTAAGTTGAAAGTTCCACAAAGTGGCAATTATGTCTTCTCTTTCCTCTTCATTCTTCATAGAAACATCATCATGCTCCCTCACAGGGATGATGGTAGTTCAAGGTCTTTGAATAACTCCTGTATGCCAAGCACCCTGCATCAGCCCACATTGGGAGGAACCGAGAGTTCAGAGGAGTTGAAAACTTTGCCCTTGGTTATACAGCTGATTGACGGCAGTGCTGGGATTAGACCCACGTTTGTCTGACTTCCAGTACTCAGGTTGAACTGATGGTGTTTGAAAATGGCTCTTTTTTATGCTATAGTTCTGGCATGTCTTCTGATTAGCAGGCAAATTTATTGTGTTGTACGTCAGTATGCTTTCTGCAAAGAAGAGAGAGAAAGTGTCATTCTGCTCATCTCTCTGTGGTGCATTATAAGCTTTTTTTTTTTTAAGTTGTTGATGGACCTTTTTAAAATTTATTTATATGTGGTGCTGAGAATCGAACCCAGTGCCTCATACTTGCTAGGCAACCGCTCTACAGCTGAGCTACAACCCAGCCCTCATTATAAGCTTTTTAAAGTCACAAATTGTTGCCAGCTGGCCAGGCTGACAAGATGATCTGAGTTATTTATCAATAACTAAGAAAGTGGCAAAGAAACTACACAAACATGAAAATACCTTTTTCTTAATTGCTGGGGTCAGGGATGGCTCTGTGACCTCAAAGATCACCTTCCATGCTGGAAAGAGGGCAAGGGGAGCAAGAGAGGCAAGCAAGAGAGCCAGCACACCCCAAACCCCTCTACTTATTGAGGAAAAGACATTCTATAGAAAGTTCCACCCAAATAAGGCAAGGGATGGGTTTCGAAGGGTGGAGGCTTGCTTGGTGATGTCTTGTGGTCAGGTAATTGATTGACATTTTGGCAAGTCATGCCCATTTCAGGTGCTGTATGGGATCATAGGCAGAGTGAGAGAAAAGGCACACTTGTGTTGCATAGCCCAATAAGTGCTCGACACCAGACCCGTCCCCTCATATGCTCAAATGCGCATAGCTCACACACACAGCTCATGAATGGCTCACGACAACAAACAGTATTGCTTCTGATACTAACTCTGGAGCCACATGAAAAAAAAATCCCTCAAATAACAAAGAAAACCAATAAAAGGCATGCATCATATAGTTAAGTGAAAAATTGAACCCAAAATATATTGAGAATTATTCTGGTAGGGCTTGATAGGGTCTTAGTTTAAACTTATCAGGGGCAAGGTATTACCAGGGACTTTCCTCTTGTTCCCTGTCTGTCTTTTCCCTTTCCCCACCACTTAGCCTAGGTCCGTCTTGCTTATTAGGTAGAACCAAGTGTTGGCTTCTTCCCAGGCAGGCTGTCCTGAGAAGTGGGGAAGAGAGCCTCTGGCAGCTCCTTACTGACACTGCCCTTTCTTCCTGAGATTTCAGAAGGAAAGAGATCTTTTCTCTCCCAGAGACCATATTGCTCTCTGATCAAACACTTGGACATTCCCATGCTTGAAACATATGCCCACTTGTAAGACTGGTCACTGTTCTGGGTATTGAAAGACTATTGTATTTTGGGTTCACCCTTATGATAGGGGAGTGGGGGAGCTTGATTGACAATACTGCCAGTTCCTGAAGAGGCTGTTTTTAATAGAAAAATAGTTGTTCTTTGCCATAATAAGGGGACAGGGCTGCTGGGCAGGCAAAACCAACAAAACTTTACAGCTGTTCATTAAAAGAAAAATGCTAAAAATCATGTATCACCCCATCATCTTAACTAATGACAGTTTTGTATATTAAGTCATTGTTTATTTTTGTAGCTRAAATTTGTAATATGCAAATTTTAATTTTATGTTAAAATGTAATAGTTATTTTTCTGTATTGTTACATGAAAGTGATTTCTTTAAAAAAATTAACATAACAGTATAGAAAATGTTATCAGAGGATTATAGTCTTACAGATGAATGTAATTTCACTGAAAGCATCCCTAACAGCTTACAATTAACTATACTCACCAGGAGCTAAGATAAGAGGACATTTTTCCAGGAAACAATAAACTCTCACCACTTTGCTTCTCTTGACTCCTCAGCCTGTGGAGAGTCGTCAAGTCCGAGTTCTCCCAGCTCTCTTCACTGGCGGTCCCTCTCCTCCTCCATGCTCTGTCCCTTCCTCATGGTGCTGACATCTTCTGGACTATAATAAACAGCAACTTTAACAGCAAAGACTGGAAGATGAGGTTTGAAGCAGGTACTTCTGTATTAGCTTAAAAATTCTCTGCTCATAATGTAAACCAGATGTCCAGTTTTGACATCTGTTTTTGGCCTCCTTCCTCCTCCTGCCATTTAAGGGACATTCTCCTGATGGCTGGTATTCCTCAACTGAGTCTCCTCCACACAGTTTTACAGAGTGTTTGACATAATCCAGGCATAATTAGTTAACCCCCCCACTTTTTTACTCCCAAATGTGTCCATTTGGGTTATAAATAATGGAGGTAACTTGTATCAGAGTTACTGAGATATTTGTTAAAAATAAAAGTTATTGAGCCCCACCCTAACCTACTGAATCAAAATCTCAGGGTAGTGGTGAGGATAGGAATCTAGATTTTAAACAAGTTTTCAGGTAATTCCGTAAGGTTTGAGAATTCCTTCTGTGTTTTGCCATCAAGGCACAAAGAACCAGTCTGGTGCATGAAGGGTCTAATTTGCTAGTGCATAAAATGGCAAATTCTCAGAGTAATATGGTAGAGAAGGACCTTGGATGTTTTCTTGGAACTTTATATCTTCTGGCTTATTGTTCTCAGGGGCAGCAAGCAGGGTTGGATTGCCAGAGTGTTGCTTATAAGAATGGTTCCACGTATTTTAGTGTCTCAAAAGTTTGACCCAGAAATGGAAGTTCCATTAGATGAATTAACAGTTTCCTACACTCTGGCCACTTCAAAGAGTTCTTGCTTTTTGACATTCACACGAATCCCAGGGACTAGTTAATATGCCAGTTCATGATGGTGTAGGAAATTAGATGTTGTAGGGTAAAATTTTCTAGCAAAAATCTGCATGGCATTTGCAATGTTTTATAGGGAATTTGTATTTAAATGCAAATAAAGCAGATAAATATTTAAATATGCTTCTTCATTCCAATTTAAGGATTAGATTATTGCCAGATTAGTCTTCTGAATCATGGCTCTGATTATGTTACTTTTCAAATAAAAATTTTTAATGAGTTCTCAATGTCTAAAGAATAAAAATATTCAGGCTCCTTCAACTGCTGTACAAATTTCCTCATCGCCTGACTGCAAGTGTTYGCTGCCTGGTTTGCCACTCTCCTTTCTCATGTACCTTTGTCATTTGCCCATTGCTTCTTGCTTCCCTTGGCCCATGTCTTGGCCATTCTCTATTCTCTGTCTGAAATCATCTTCCATTCTAGTCCCTGTCCARATGCCATCTTCATTTTATCTATGCCACCATTGAGTTCCACCTTCAAGGTGATCTCAGTAGAAAGTAGTTTATTTATTCCCTGATCTCTCATTACATTTTATTTGTACTCCATTAGAGTTTTGTATTACATTTCAACTAGTTGTATCTGTCTTATTGCTTTTAGTTAATTTGACTTTGAAGTCAAGAGTTGTGAATGTGGAGAGTCTTCCATTTACTTCCTTTCCCCACAACTGCTTACAATAGTCCCTTAATTTCAAATACATAAAACACATACATTCTTAATAAATTTTAAAAACAAGTGAATCCATGAATTTACTGAATAAATACCACATGTAAGAGGTACTATGTGAGTGGTAAAAGTGAGTATAAGAAAGTGTATGAGAAAATTTTTACCATCAAAAGCCTTCCAACTTAATTGATGAGCCCAAATACAAGCATATATGAAGTTGATAAAAAATAAAAGACATAATGTAAGAACACTAAAGAACACATGTCCTATGGGTATGTAAGATGAATATACAGATGCCAGATGTAAATTAATAATGTGCAAATGAGTAGTATTTTTTATAGGAGTTCATTGGGTGGAAGGTCAGAGGGACTTCATTGAACAGATAGAACCTCAGCAATTAATAGGAATGGTAGAATGTCAACAAGGATAAAAGAGTAGAAAGAATATTCTAGGATTCCAGAATAGCTTAATCAAAGTACTAAAATGTCTTTATTCACATCACACTGTATTGCTGTGCTTGGTATGAAAATTTTTTATGAGATTGTGCTGTAAGAATGGCTAGAATAATTTTACATAAATTTAAAGAATAATTTGAAATTCATTMAACGAGGGTATATTTGTATCCTGGAAGAAATGTGTGGCTTCTGCAGCCACAGGAAATTATCTGTCATTTCACATCATGACCATTAAGAGTAGACCCAAACCTAGCACCTGGCCTGGTGGGTGCCTCTTCTTCCCCGCTGTGGTCCTCAGAGCTCCCATGGAATGGCCACTCAAGTGAGCAGACAGACATTTTGAGTAGTTTGAAATGGAACTGAAAGTTAAACAAAGAGAAGGACCATTTAAAAAGCCTAGACAATGACTAAGAGGTACATCAAGTGAAGAGCTACATCAGCAGGAAGGCACTGCCCCGAGTGGGAACGGCCTCTGCTGCAGATGAAACAACACTRGAGATGGGCACGGGGATCTCCCTTTGGTGTTTACCATTGCCATGTGGGTCCCTGAGTTAACTTTTTCTCGTGGGTTCAGTTCTCAGAGTAAGTGTAATATGTACCTCTGTACATTTTGTCCTCTGTATTTTACATTGCAGTGGAAAAAGTGGCTGTGATTTGTAGATTTCTGGATATTCACTCAGTGACCAAAAACCACCTGCTAAAGTACTCCCTGGCACACGCCTTCTGCTGCTTTCTGACAGCTGTGGAAGATGTCAACCCTGCAGTGGCTACCAGGGCAGGTCTCCTGCTCGACACCATAAAGAGGCCAGCGTTGCAGGTGATGTATGATGTGTATTTTTGTTCTGCAGATGGTCTGTGCCAGTACCACTAAATCACTGAGGTATTTGTCAATGTCGTAGTCTTTCAGGCTTACTATAATAAAACACCATAAATGGAGTAGCTTATATAACAATAGAAATTTACTCGTCCTACTTCTAGAGGGTGTTGGCAGATTTCAGTATCTGGTCAGGGCTTGCCCTCTGGTTCACGGTTGGTGCCTTTCACTATTTCTGGGGCCTCTTTTAAAAGGACACTAATTCCCTTCATGAGGATCCCACCGATATTACCTCATCATCTCTCAAGGGCCCCACCTCCTATTGTGATCACAATGGTGATTAAGTTTCAACAAATAAATTTTGGGGGGAACACGGACCTTCAGACCATGACATTGTATAAATACAATATGGATGACAATGATGGTAACGTGGAAATTCTGTGGGTGTGTTTGAAGGCAGGTTTGTTAAATTTTATCGAAAACAAACAAAAAGATGAGTTATTTGCCCCGAATCTCTACCCATACAGTATAAGTATTTAAATTGAAGATCATCCCAGAGCTTGACCTTATTCAGATATTCAGAGATCCTCCTTTATTCTTTTTTGTTGGCTCTTTCATTTTAGTTTTTGTCCACCTGTTGACCTCACTCTTTGATAGCGGTAACTATTGCATAGCTTTTGTTGTGTGTAGCACCTTTTTAAACTAGGCTGGTTTATCCTAGGCCATTTTGTTAACTGCTGGGCTGGAAGCCCCTGTCATTACAGGATAGATGCTAAGCAGATGAATCATAATAGCAATCAAAGTAAAGTTGGAGAAGGCAAGTGTGCCACCAAAATGAAACATCACAAAMGTGATACAAGACCTTGAGAGGTCGTACATTTATCTCCTGTGGCACCTGTTTACTAAACTTCAGAAATTTCACAAGTCCTGGAGAGAAAGGACTAATTGAAGGGTACAGAGTAAATCAGTTTGAGATAATCAAGACTAAAATCTCTACTGTTTCTCCATATTGATACAGATTTGTTATTTTGCCATTGTTATCAAAACTAACAATTATGGGCTGGGGATGTGGCTCAAGCGGTAGCTCGCTCGCCTGGCATGCGTGCGGCCCGGGTTCGATCCTCAGCACCACATACCAACAAAGATGTTGTGTCCGCCGATAAGTAAAAAATAAATATTAAAAAATTCTCTCTCTCTCTCTCTCTCTCTCTCTCTCTCTCTC